ACTTTCAGTTAGCCCCTTTAGAGTCACCAATTTATCTAACTGCGTGCTTTTGGACCATGGGAGGAAACGGGAGTATCCACAGGAAAACCGTGCATGCAGATTCTAGGCTGCAAGGTCCAAGAGCTAGAGCCAGATCCTTCCTGCTGCAAGGTGCTGACCTTCTGTCCCGCTGTGCAACTTTTTCCATGCGGTACCAAAATGAAATGAAAAAGTTCCAATATAACTAAACCAAACAAACGAGAAACAAATGATTTAGTAAGTAATAAAACGAGAGGGTCACAAAATAAGCGGCCTAAGCAGAGAGGCCCAGCCGTCTCTCTACCCAGCCTCGTGAGCCTGCTCCTCTGGGCGTGGCCTAAGGCGTTCCTGGCCAGCCGAGAGCATGGTCCCTCCAGTGTGTCCTGGGTCTTCCTTTAGTTCGCCTCCTGGTTGGCCCTGCCCAGAAAACCTCACCAAGGACGTGTCAAGGAGGGATCCTAACTAGATGCCCGAGCCACCTCAAGTGGCTCCTCTCGATGTGGAGGAGCAGCAGATCTACTATGAGCCCCTCCCAGATGACCAAGCTTCTCACCCTAAGGGAGAGTCCAGCCACCCTGCAGAGAAAACTCATATTGGCCCCTTGTATCTCATTCTTCTGGCTACCACCCAAAGCTCGTGACCATAGGTGAGGGTTGAAACGTAGACTGACCGGGGAACCACAACAGACCGGTACAAACGCCCGCATCACTGCAGACGCAGCACCAATCTGCCTTTGGATCTCCCACTCCATCCTTCCCTCACTCATCAACAAGACCCAGAGATGCTTATACTCCACCAGGACCTCATGCCTCACTTGGAGACTCAAGACCATGGTCTCGGATTCGACGGTGCTGATTCTCATCCCAGCTGCTTCACCCTCGCATGCGCTCTACTTGTTGCTGTTTTCATACTAATGTAAAAAAGTCACGTTCCGACTTGAACTGGTGTTACCTCTCATACAGCGCCTACATTTCACAAACATACTGTGAAGCTCAGCCAGCAGCGAATCCTCTGATGAGGATTTTCATTTTATTTAATTGTCGTTAGAGAGATTCTCTTTTTTTCCTCTTTCTTTACGTAATTCAGACATTTCCATGGCTTCACTTTGCTGTGAAGCTAAGAAACCCACGCTGCCTTGAGTGACAAATGTATCTAAATGAGATGCTGCTCTCGTGGTCTGCCTGCATCTGTTTGGTCTACGTGTGTGTGTGTGTGTGTGTGTGTGTGTGTGTGTGTGTGTGTGTGTGTGTGTGTGTGTGTGTGTGTGTGTGTGTGTGTGTGTGTGAGTGTGTGTGTGTGTGTGTGTGTGTGTGTGTGTGTGTGTGTGTGTGTGTGTGTGTGTGTGTGTGTGTGTGTGTGTGTGTGTGTGTGTGTGTGTGTGTGTGAGTAACCTTGGTCGGGCTGTGCTGCGGAGTCAGATTCCTACGCTTCGGGACGCTGGAGCACTGACAATAAAGCTTTTCTGATTCTGATGGACCATTTGAGCTTAGCTGTGGACTAACACGCAGGACAGTTTTTGAAGGCAAACAGCACCGTTCTTCAACATTCACAGAATAAATGACGTTTGAGACATGAAGCGAGCTCAGAGAAGAGGACATAAGCTAGATGACGGGTAGCGTTGGAAAACCGACATGACCTTTGACTTAGGCATTACGTTACCCACCCGGTTTAAGGTATTACACTCCTGTAAGTTAAAGTGAGTAAAAAACATAGCTTTCATTCATAAACTGTGATTAACACGTGCTCCTGTGTAGTTCATACGACGGCAGGACAC